AAATAGTATAGGTTCTCCTGCTTGAGCAAGGGGCTGGACTAGAAGACCTCCAAGGTCCCTCCCAGCTCGTTCTATTCTATTCCCAGAATTCCCCAGGCAACTGGTGTGTATTTATTATGAGGGTTGCATAATCCTGGGGTTATGGGATCACCGTTTGCAACCCTCCCAGCTGGTTCCCAACCATCCAAGGCAATGGGGAAAGCCCGATTTGTTTAGTGACAGAATTATTTGCTTAAGAACTACAGCCATTCACTTAACAACTGAGGCACGTTTGTCATCGTACGGAGAAAACCCGCTCCCTGTTCGTCTTCCTCCTCGGATTCAGACTCCGACATGACAGCGAGCTATGCTGTTTTTTTTTTAGCTCAGCTGAGGCGCGCCACGAATTAGCTGAGCGGAAAAAAAACAAGGGGATATAGGAGAGGTAACGGTGGGGGCAAGTGGGTGGGCCCAGCCAGAGGTGGTATTCTGCCGGTTCTCCAGACCAGTGGTCGCCAACTGGTGGGCCAAGGACCACTGGTGGTCCGTGAGAAAATTTTGGTGTCCACAAATTTCCCCCCAAAGCAATTAATCCAGGCTGCGCGGGAACACAAGGCTGCACCGCCCACGTGGCCCCACCCACCCGCTGGCCCCCACCCTTCGGCCAAGCGCAAACCTTACCTTGAGTAGAGCCACACGAGCTGGAACTGGAAGGTTAAGACCAATGGCGGGGGAGGGAAATCCACCCCAGGGTGGCTTGCTGACGTTGGTGGGAAAGTCGGTCCCATATTCCATAGCTGCAGGAGTCACAGGACCGGCCCTTTGGTCATCCTGGAGCAGCTACTCCAGTCCATGGCAGGCCGGTGCACCTGGGTGGAGGAGCAGCTACTCCGGGATGACCAAAGGGCCAGTCCTGTGACTCCTGGAGCTCTGGAATATGGGACCGACTTTCCCGCCAACGTCAGCAAGCCACCGCCAGTCAAAATTCATATTAGTGGTCTGTGGGATTTAAAATTATGGGTTTGGTGGTCTCTGAGGTCCAAAAGGTTGGCTACCCCTGCTCCGGACTACTCAAAATTTCTGCTACTCCTATGCCAGAACCAGTCCAAACCGGCTGAATACCACCTCTGACCCAGTTGTGTGAACCCAGTTGTAATAGTAACACGAATCTCATTATCTGCTTTTCTTTTCTCTTTGCATGCCGGCTGCTTGTTCTCCACTACCAGGAGGAGAAAAATGAATATTTCCCGGTGCCTCTCAATTGTCACGGCGTTACTAACCCTGGTGGCTCTCAAGGCCTACATCGAATGGACGGCCGAGAAGGAGGAACGATACCCCATGCCCCATGCCGTTCGTTGGCAAGGTGGCTTCATCACCCCCATCCAGCCTTTCGAGGATATCTCTCCGGCTTTTGTCTTCCATCACTTTAACGCCTCCTTGAAACAATTCCGCCACAAGATCCCGCGGGCGAAAGCTTACTGGAACGATAAGCAGTACAAAAACTTTCGGGCGTTAGAAGAAGGTTCGGCGGTCAATGCTTCCTGGAATAAATGCCCCAGCGCCGACATGGAGGAACTGGCCACCAAGATCAAACACTTCAACTCGTATCCGGAGCTTTATAAGAATTTCATCCTCTACGGGGACTGCAGGAATTATTCCCTCCTGATCAACGAACCCCGTAAGTGTGCTGAGACGAAGAACAACACCTTCCTCCTCTTGGCCATCAAATCCGTGCCCGGGAATTTTGCCGCCCGCCAAGCCGTGCGGGACACTTGGGGGCAAGAAGGAGAGCCCGGTGGGCTGGCCGTCCGCACTGTTTTCTTGCTGGGCACGGCAGAGGGGCAGTTCAGGCCCCGCCTGCAACACCTGGTCCATTTCGAGAGCCGGAGTTTTGGCGACATCTTGATGTGGGATTTTGAGGACACTTTCTTCAACCTGACCCTGAAGGACTCCCTTTTCCTGCGCTGGACGCTGGACTATTGCCAGGGTGTCCGTTTCATTCTCAAGGGAGACGACGACGTGTTCATCAACACCCCCAAAGTCTTGGGGTACCTGAGCTCGGTGGATGCCAACAAGCCCCTCTACATGGGGCAGGTGATGTCCAATGCCTCGCCCTTCCGGGCCCATCGAAGTAAATACTATGTGCCAGAGTCGTTTTACGTGGGGCCCTATCCTGCTTATGCGGGAGGTGGGGGCTACATAATCTCTGGACCCCTAGCCTCGTTGCTCCTCCTCATTTCTCAGTTCGTGGCCTTCTACCCCATTGACGACGTTTACACGGGGCTGTGCTTCCAAGCCCTGGGCATCCCCCCTCAGCCCCACGCCGGCTTCATGACCTTCGATATTGCCGAGAAGGACCGGGAAGATCCTTGCGTGCACAGCCAGCTGCTCTTGGTCCATCGGCGCAGCCCCCAGCAGACCCTCCACCTCTGGAAGCAAATCACCGATCCAAATCTCCGATGCGGACAGGAGGCATCGAAGCCCCAAGCGCAGAAGCCGCCGGGATTCTGATGGAATTGAGGAACGGATGACGCGGGATTTTTTCCGTCCTCTGGGCTGCAATGGGGAGAGGTTCAGGCCCAAAATCTCATCAGAGTATTTCAAAGGGGACACCCTCCCTCCAACTTTTAGCGTGCTTTCGAAGGGCAGGAGCTGGGAATGTTCACCCGCTTGGGGCCTGGTCAACGTGGCTGCGATCGGCCTCTTCTTAAAATTCCTGTTTTGTCTTTCTGGAGATATTCTGGTAGAAGCCAGAGCCATATCAAGAGTTCAGGAAACGCTGTTTACAGATCTAAGAACCGTCCTTATTTTTCTACCAGGCTGGTTGGAAAAGGGCCACAGCCTCCACCTGGCCTTACCTGAGAATGCCAGGGCTTCAAGTTTGCTTCCCTCACCCGGTGCCCTCCCAATTGGCCGGCAAAAGCTGGATTTCCAAGAGGAACCTTCCTCCACATCTGGAGGCAACTCAGAGAGCCAACCTGACCTGCCTGGATTGCAGAAGGTGAAGTATTGTCCACAAGTGTTTTATTTTATTTTTTTCCTTTGGGGCCCGAATGTTTGGGGGCCAATGCCTCCCTCCCACAGTTGGATAAACCAAGAAACCGAGGCACGAAGCCAAGCCTTAATAACCACGGAGTGCTTCAACGTGGCAGAAGAAGAAAAGTGGAAATAAGATTATCATCGGAAGTGAGGATAGCCGTGGTGGCACAGTGGCGAGAATGTAGCATTGCAGGCTCACTCTGCTGATTGCCAGAAGTTTGATCCTGGCCGGCTCAAGGTTGACTCAGCCTTCTGTCCTTCTGAGGTGGATAAAATGAGGACCCAGATTGTCAGGGGCGAGATGCTATCAGGGATGTAATTTGGACCCTAGTTTTGGTGCCCGATAGGATCTCCTTCTCCGTTCCACCGATCCTTATGCCTTTGGACTCCTTGACCATTTCTGTATCTCATCTCTAGCAAAATTCATGCACTTTAAATGTCCAGACCCGTATTATCTTTCACCTGTCAAGAGGTAACGGTCAGTTTTTGCAAGTCTGAGACATGAAAGGGGGAGAATCCGTAAATTGGTCAGAAAACTTCAACACTTCTCGAAATGTACTTGCAAATGTACTTCCACCCATCCAGGTGAGAATATCTTCTACTCCAAGCCCCTGGAAGTATTCGAGATAGACAAAAATATATATATATCTCCTTTCCAGAAGAATTACAGGATTGAGGACTTGCAAACGTCGAACTGTTTCCGTCAGCTGCCACTTTGCTACGATGCAGGCACTAAGGGAGAGAGGGAACAAAATGTATTCCTTGAATGACCCTTGTCCTAGGAAACCCTCCTTTTAGTTGACTCCATAAACCTTGGAGGGCTGCAAAAGCACCGTGTGAAGCGATATCGAAGCCTAAGGGCTCTTGCTATTGCGGATGGTTTAGAGCAGGGGTGTCAAGCTCAAGTTCCAGGGGCCTGATCTGGCCTGCAAGGTGCTTAGATCCGATCCACAGTGAAATTACAGTTAACAGATAATCAGAGTTGGAAGGGACCTTGTAGGTCACCTAGTCCAACCCCCCGCCCAAGCAGGAGACCCTACACCATTTCTGACAGGTGGCAGTCCAATCTCTTCTTGGAAGTCTTGAGTGATGCTGCTCCCATAACTTCTGAGGGCAACTTCTGTTCTATGGGTTGATTGTTCTCCCTGTCAGAAAGTTTCTCCTTATTTCCAGGTTGAATCTCTCCTTGGTCAGTTTCCATCCATTATGCCTTGTCTGGCCTACAGGTGCTTTAGAAAATAGCTTGACCCCCTTCCTCCTCTCTGGGGCAGCCCCTCAAATATTGGAAGGCTTCTCTTCCCTAGACCAGCCAGGCCCAGTTCCTGCAACCGTTCTTTATATTTAGAATAGAATAACCGAGTTAGAAGGGAACTGGTAGGTCATCTAGTCCAACCCCCTGCCCAAGCAGGAGACCCTACACCATTTCTGACAGATGGGAGTCCAATCTCTTCTTGAAGGCCTCCAGGGATGAAGCTCCCACAACCTCTGAATGCAACTTCTATTCTGTTCTCACTGTCAGAAAGTTTCTCCTTATTTCCAGGTTGAATCTCTCCTTGTTCAGTTTCCATCCTTTATTCCTTGTCTGGCCTTCGGGTGCTTTAGAAAATAGTTTGACCCCTTCCTCCTCTCTAGGGCAGCTCCTCAAATATTGGAAGACTGCTATCATGTCTCCCCTGGTCCTTCTCTTCACCAGACTAGCCAGGCCCAGTTCCTGCAACCGTCCATTGTATGTTTTGGCTTCCAGTCCCCTCATCATCCTGGTTGCTCTTCTCTGCCCTTTTTCTAGTCTCAACATCTTTTTTATAATGTGGTGTCCAAAAATTGAGTGTGACACTCCTGGTTTAAAGAGAGCTCAGTTGCTTTTGACTTGACAAAATGGGGAGGGTGGGTGGGTGGGTGAATGGGATGCCCCAACTTCTCCTGTCCACGCTGTAACCACCTCCTGCTGTAATAAAAACGTGACTCGGGTACCATCAGTCTTGGAGAATGTCGACTGGCGATTTGTGTGAACAGGTGTTTCGGGGGAAATGTCGGATGCTTGGATCTTGAAAGCAGCAGGTTACAGGTAGTCCTCAACTTACGACAATTGAAAATTTCCATTGCTAAGTGACACATCTAAGTGAGCTTTCCCTCCTTTTAGGACTTTCCTGGCCACCATTGTGAAGTGAAACAAGGTGAGGGCTAAGTTAGTCACCCGGTTGTTAAGTGAATCTGGCTTCCCCATTGACTTTGCTTGGCGGAAGGTCGCAAAGGCGGGGTCACGTAACCCTGGGACGTTACAAGCGTCATAAATATGAATGTGTCTCGGTTTTGATCACGTGATCATGAAGATGCTGCAATGGTCCGAAGTGTGAAAAATGGCCATGTCACTTTTTTTTCAGTGCCGTTGTAACTTGGAACGGTCACTGTCACGCCCGTCGGAATCTTGATTGGGAGGGGGAGGCCGAGCAGCTGACAGGGAGCTGGAGTGTGGCTCCATTGGCTGTGGAAGAAACTGGGGAAGGGCAAAGGCTGGCTGGGCAGAGCAGGGGAGAAGTAAAACAAGGGAGAGGGAATTCAGAAGACAACGCAGGCCCACATCCCTCTTCATCCTAGGGCACGCAGTGGGGAACGGAGAAGAGAGCAATGTGAGTTGCATGGCTTACAGGGGAGGAAAGGGCCCTGATTCCCTTCATTAGCTTCAGCTGGGAACACAGTGTTTAAAAAGCTGCGCACAGCCAGTTATTGGGAGAAAATCGTGAATTTATCTGGTATCCTCGTTTCCTGGCGTCTTCCCAACGGTGTTTTGCTGCCCTTTCAAGTCTGCAATTCCTTCTCCTGCCCTGTCAAGTTAATTACTGCAGTGTGGTTTGTGTGGATTTTTAGTTACAGTCTGTATGTACTTTATATTCCTGATTGAATTTCCTCCACTTAAAGGCTGTTCCTGGGAGTTTTTTTTCTCCAGCCGAAGGTCACCTGCACGCTGGGGGCAAAGTTGGAGATAATAAAGGGATTCTTCTTGTTTATTTGACTATGTTGCCTTTTTGCCACATCCCTTTGGGTCATCACAGTCACTAAATGAACTGTTGTAAGTCGAGGACTACCTGTATTCCCTGCAGAGCATATCTAATAAAAGCTCAGATTTTTTTTTTTTTTTTTGCAAAGAGGCAGCCAGGAAAACTATGCCAACACACACATACACACACACACAAACGTGCTGAGAAGAACATGTTGATACGCCGTGGGGCAGATGGTGCCCCTCCACAGGTATTCTCACACACGGGCCCCATTAGCCCCAAAAAATATATATATTTATTGATTTTCCAACTTGCCCCATATGTGCGATTAGATAGGCTGGCATCCACCCATTATTCCCTTTAACCCGCTAATAATCATTATTTTCAGTTGTAACAGCTTTTGAGTAAGAATAACAGGACAGCGTGAATTCCACTGAAGAAGGAGCCGGGAAAGAAAATTTTGCAGCAAACATCCACAAGGGAGACGTTCGAACCCAGATTCCCTGCGTCTCGTTCCTTGCCATCCCCGTATTTATTCATTTCTAAAACCAACCCGGGGCAAAGTTTTCCATCCTCCACCCCTGCCTTGCTCAAAGTCATTTCCTTCCCGAAGAAAATCCACACTCATTTGGCAACCGTTTTCTCGGAAAGACACCCCTTTAAGCAAGGGTGGGCTTCAAAAATTTTTAGCAACCGGTTCTCTGCCCGGCTGCTGGGTGAGCGTGGCCATGGTGGGCGTGGCCTAGTCGGCCTCCTGCCCCAGGGGTCCCCAACCACCGGGCCCTGGACCGGTACCGGTCCGTGGAACATTTTCTACCGGGCCGCCAGTTTGCTGGTTGCCGCCATCTTGTTTCAATGAGAAAGTGCCTCCGGGTGAGCTTTTCCGGTTGGAAAGCGGCGTTTGGGTCCTGAAGGAATCCTCGCGCCTTAGTTTCATCGAAGGGGGGGGGGCGGCTTCGAACGAAACTAAGGTGCGAGGATTCCTTCAGGACCCAAGGCAAGGCGAGCCGAGTAACCGTCCCGAAGCCCATCGACAAAGGTACAAAGGAGGAGTTGAAGGTGGCGGGGAGAAGCGGGGGACGGCCGGCTGGCCGGTCGCTCGGCTCGCCTTGCCTTGTCATGCGTGCTGATGCCGGTACCAGGCCGCAGATCATTTTGTGATGCCAGTACCGGGCCGTGGCACAAAAAAGGTTGGGGGCCACTGTCCTGCACCACAGCCGAGGGGAGGGGGATTGTTTTTGCCTTCCCTGGACTCCGGAGGCCAGAAACGGGCCTGTTTCCAGCCTTCTGGGAGGCTGTTTTTTTCACCCTTCCATGTGCCCCCTGTACTTATCTGGGATCCAAAATTGACCTCTTGGAGACCCCTTGGAGGGGCTGGGTGGGCAGGGCCAGCCAGTCGTTGCAACTACCAGTTCAGCGAACCAGATGTTAAAATTAACACCCGGGTCGGCCAAACCGGTACGAACCGGTAGCAGCCCACTCCTGCCTTTTAAAGGGTTGTGATAAAAATTAGCTGGCGCCTCATTCGAGGCCGATCTCCGTGCTCCGGCCAAGAAATAAATTGATCGTGTCTCTTTCCACGGTGGAATATGGGAGGTAGGGGGGCACCTCACTTCAAGCCTTTCTTCGGGAGCCCCCCCACTATGGATTTTTCCTAAAAAGATATTCCCCTCCGGAGAGCAATCGGACATATTGAACCCTTTCCACAGTGGGACGCTAAGGAGGCACCAGATTTGCTAGCTGAATTTGGGGCTGGGCTGTGAGTAAAATTGTGAACGTGTCAAAACCCAGAGAAGCTCCCTAGTCTATTAAAGCAGCAAATTTAAGGCAACGCCAGTCCATCACCTCAACGATTGAGCTGGGAGAGATTTCTGTGCTTTTAAGGGAAATACCGGCAGCTTTTCCCAGCTTTTTGTGCAAACAATAAAAATAAAAATGACCCTAGTTGGATCACTTGAGGCTACTCAATCCTTGAATGCTAATTTCTAAAACTCAGTTCCCACCAGCCTTCTGTTAAAAACCCTACAGCTATTGTTGTGAAGACCCTCTGACTATTGCTAGAGTGACAAAGTAGTAGCTACTCCCCTTTGCTTTGAAAATGAGGGGGAAAGGAACTTTTCTTAAAGGCCCGTGAAGAGAAGAGTGGAGGAGCAATCGAAAATGGACAGCTAGGGTGAATCCTAAAAGATGAATACGTTGCTCGAAAAACAGAATGCCAGGCAGGGCCCCAATGCCAGACTATACCTCAGACCCCAAATAGTGCCGGCCCAATTCTATATTTTCCAAGAACCGAGGAGGAGAGGGAGTGTCCCTTGACCCAGAAACCAAACTCAAGGCGAAGTCTTCGAGGATCAAAGCGGGCCGAAAGGAAACCCACCTCCTCCCCAGTTCTACAGAAATGCACCTAGCAGTGCGTTAAACCTCCTTTTAACTGTCCGCAGAAAGTGCGGAGCTCGCTCATCCTTACTTGTCTCTTGCCACAGGCTGACTAAAATCCCCACCCCTCTCTCTTCTTTGGAGCTGGTCTTTAAAAGAAAAATGGAAGTGGAACCATAAAGCAAAGTGGCCCAC